TAAATTTGTATTAACACCCAAAGAAAAACTATACATCAAAAAGTTCTAGATCTCCTAACCCCCCTCCCCTACCTAGTGTAGGGGTTAGGAGAGGTTTTTATTCGATCTAATTCAGAGTAGAAATCAAAAGGGGGCCTAAGTATACAATACCAAATGCCCTAAACCTTACAAAAATAAACCAGTGCTGCAAGCATGCACACACATAGATAAAGGAAAGTCCAAAAATCAGGCTATAGTTAAAGGAGGTTGTAACACATTCTCCCTTAACCCAAAAATCAAAACAGAATGCGTGATGCAAGTTGCATCCACGTTACTCCACAAAACATCATGTGCCACGGCTTAAATGGTTGTAGTCCAGCACCCATCATCAAAATTTGATCATCTCACACGGGTATATATTGAAAAGTATCTTATATACCACGTGTTTAATCTTTGCAACAATTTCGTCTTCACTCTTGCTTGCACCATCAAATCGGTTAGCGTTCCTAGCATGCCAAATGTGGTAGATTGTAGCGCAAAAGGCTGCCCGAACCACTTTCCCCTTCAACTTTGACCCCTTATACTCCTTCAAGATCCACTTGACCGAGCTAGACATCGTAGTCATTTGGTGCGTCATCCCTAGCCAATTATTGATTCGCTCCCATACCCCGCAAGTGAAAGGGCAAGCAAAGAAAAGGTGTGGCATTGTCTCCAAGCCACCCTTGCAAAGATCACATCTATTCACTATATGCAGATATTCAAGATTATCCTGAGTAGGTAACCTATTCCGGAAAGCAAGCCATACATTAAAAGAGAACTTGGGAGGGATATAAGATTTCCAAATAAAGCTCATCCATACCCTAACCGTCCCTTTTGTTCTCAACAATTCATAAATTTTGCTAGAAATCAACTTACCATTGACGGATCTAGAGGCGAAACCCATTATGGTATCATTTTGGTTATTAAAATATCCTTTAATTTTGTCCCTTATTGAGGCCAAACTCTTCCTGAAAGTCGAATCCCGACTATGTGGGATAAAGTCCCACACGCTTTAAATACATGAAACTTATGGTTTCATGTATTTACTAATGGTTGGCCATGATTGTTGAACTATGGACGTACTTATTGTAAATTATTCTGAAATGTGTATAGGGCATGAATTGCGTTGTTATGCAAAGAAAAATGAAAATAAAGTTATAATTACATAAAAAATGATGAATAACATTCTTGATGGAATATATGGACTCTGACCCCCCGGTCTGCCGACTACTGGGTCTGGACAGCGACTCACACACGTTTAGCGGATATCATTCATATTAGGGAAAACTATCAAATAAGCCCCTGTACTGTACCGAAAAAGTCGATTAGGCCCTCATACTTTACAAACACTCAATTAAGTACTCGAACTATTAAAAAACGTTCAATTAAGCCCTTTTGGTGGGTAAGTAACCGATTTCCCGGTTAAACGACGACGATGGCGACGATGTGCTCGAACCCCAGCAACGACGGCTTCCGGGAAACAGGTTACATTTAACCGGGAAACCGGTTACTTACCGACCGAAAGGGCTTAATTGAACGTTTTTTAATAGTTCGAGGACTTAATTGAGTGTTTGTAAAGTACGAGGGCCTAATCGACTTTTTCGGTATAGTACGAGGGCTTATTTGATAGTTTTCCCTTCATATTATTGTACATTATTATTATTATTCAGATGTTCTAGATTAGTTGTTTGTACTATCAGTCCATGTAATCGGGTCTGTCAGGCCCATATTAGAGTCTCAGACCCGGATTTTCCCTATATATACTCCTTTAGGAGGCTACACAACAAAAAAGATACAATCAATATTCATTCTATACACTATTCATCTTCTTCTTCATCATTTCTTCTCCACTCTTGTTCAAACTCTCACTGGTTATAGGATATGGGTATCAATTATCCAACAATGGTGCTCTCGTTGAGAGGTTTGAACACATCAAGTGAGAAAACCTCCCAAAAACAACTAAAAAGAAAAATCTCCCTAATCACAAGAAATCCAGCAAGGAAGCTGCTATGAAAATTCAAGAAAAAATGGAAAAGAAGAAAAATCTGGATTTTCCCAGATCCGAACCACCGTCTTCTGCCACCGCCGTACTCTTGAAGCTCGTTGCGCCAATTCGAGTTCACCGCGATGTTCTGAGTGTGTCGCTCCAAACCTCACACGTCCACCCCATCACCGGATCTGTTCGAAGGATGGCCAAGGGATGCACTTCCGATCTCAAATAGGAGCATTTACCGTTTTTCCCGTCGTCACCGTAGGTCGCCGCTACCCAGGCCGTTGAGTCGGTTGAAGCCGGTCTGCCGTTGCTGCTACGCGCGCCTCACCGCCCATTCCCAGATCTCGCCGCCGCGAAGTTGCTGCCAGGCTGCTATCCAGATCTCACAGCCACGGCTCCGGATCTCGTTGCCGCAGCTCCAGGTCCCTAGTTGCAGCTCGACGGTCGGAGACGCGCAGCTTTCTCGCGGAGCTTAAAACTCTTTTTGTCCTGCCGCCATTAACGGTCATTGAGAAGCTCTGTTCTCGCGCCGAAGCCAACCTGAAGAGAGCGTGGGCAGGTCGCAACTTGAGGAGCCACCTGCACCAGACGAAGCTCGCTGCAGTGCCCAGCTCTGCAACTCGGTCGCTCGTCGCTGGCAGCTGGTTCTACCGCCGAGTCTCCACCCCACCACTCGTCGTCAGCGGTCCACCGTAGGACGCTCCTCCACGAGGTCAGTTTCTGTTCGAGCCCTCACCGGCCCACACACGTTTAGCGGATATCATTCATATTATTGTACATTATTATTATTATTCAGATGTTCTAGATTAGTTGTTTGTACTATCAGTCCATGTAACCGGGTCTGTCAGGCCCATATTAGAGTCTCAGACCCAGATTTTCCCTATATATACTCCTTTAGGAGGCTACACAACAAAAAAGATACAATCAATATTCATTCTATACACTATTCATCTTCTTCTTCATCATTTCTTCTCCACTCTTGTTCAAACTCTCACTAGTTATAGGATATGGGTATCAATTATCCAACAATTCTCATGTAGTCGTGCTCCCAAGTAACTATCTGAGTTGAGCGTTGTGGAACATCCTCCCGCGGGGAGTTCCGGGGATACTTCTAACGGGCCAAGAGCTAGCTACCCAAGGTCATCGGCGAAGGGCCTAGACACGAGCTATACGGGCCCATAAAATTCAAAAGACAAAATAAGAAGGAAGAAAAAATAAATACGGAAATCTCCTGGGGTTTGATACTTGAGCACTTACGTGTTGTTGTGCGTATTTCATATGTGATTATAACTTATGTGTTGCGTATTTGGCTTGTGTATCTCTTTATGACTAGCTAAGACTCCTTTTATGTTTTAGTGGATGTAATGGTGACTTACTAAACATTATTGCTTATGAGAATTCCATTCTCTTGTATTCTCATGTATATGTAATAAGTGAAATACGAAGACTTAGAGGGTGTGTGGAGCTGGTGACGAGGCTTATTGATGGGTTAACAGAGAAGATCTGGCAATCTGTTATATTTTGTTTAGTACTTTGGTACTTCTAAATGGTTTGTTATATACTATGAAATCCTGCTCAGATGTAAAGAGTTTTAAAAACGTTTCTTTTGGTACTCAACTTTATTTGTCGTAAGGTTTAATTATGTTTTAAAACGGAGTCTCACTTCGAGGCCTTGTACCTTTGTTTCCACTTTGTATATCGGTCTTGGTTATGTTTGAGTTTTGAAATGGCCATTTCCATTATGTATTTGGGGATGGTTGTTACAGTTTGGGAACAGAGCAATCTTTTTAAACATCTTTTCATAATTCAGCTGAATCAACCTATCCAGCCAGAACTTTATAAATTTCAGCAGAATTAGCCAATGCAAGCAATTTCAGTTTTACCAAATGGGGTATTAGCATTGTGTTTTAACTACGTGTGAGCATATCGGTTTTCGGTTCGATTTTTATCGATTTTGGTTCAGTTTGGAACGGGTTGGGAGAATTATTACCAAACAAAACCATACTATTTTTCGCTTTGGTTCGGTTCGGTCTAGTTCAATTTGGTTCGGGTTGAATTTATTATTTTTTAATTATATATGAAAGATTTATTGAATTTCTATAGTTCGATTTTGTTCGGTTTTTATCGGTTTCAGTTCGATTTAATACAGTTTGGAAGAAATAGTACTGAACTCAAACCAAATTGCATATCGTTCGATTTAGGTTCGATATAGTTCGATTTGATGCGGCTCGATTAGGTTAAACCAAACCAATATGTTCACCCCTAGTTTTGATCATAAGGATCACTGATCCATTATCCTATGTCGCTAACATGACTGCCCGTATGACTTTAATTATTTTCTTTTTTTTGGAATGAACAATAATGGAGATATCTGAAGTTCAATCATCACTCTGGGTTCGTATAGCTGCACGAATGCATCTGACATTGAAGGGTTCCGCTAAGATTGTCCCATTTTACCTTTTTGTAAAATCTCACTAGATTGTTCCATACCATATTTGGTAAAGCTTGTGCCTCTTAATCATTCTTACTTTATTCTTACTCTATCAATTCAATATCAATTACATAAACTCATTTTTTTTAATAAACGTGACACATTCTTCCAAAACATTGGGACGGAGTAGTAGTATTCATCTTCATTCAATGAAAAAGAACTTATGGGCAGCCGAGTGGATGGAATGAATTGAATACGGGCAACTTTTAGACTTAGAGCATCTCCGATGATACAATGTGCACGGCGCACATGTGGCATGAGAGATATAGACACAAAAAATTAAATTTATGACGTTTCTCTCTCCTCCGTTCCTATTAAAACTTCCAAATAGGTTTGACACACAGTTTAAGATAGTGGGTATTGTGTGGTGGAGAGTTGTGTAGAGGAGAGAGAAATGTGCAAGAAATGTTGTGAACCACAAATTCTTTACTAAAAAGAGAAAATGTAAGTTTTAATTGGAACGAAAGAAAAATGAAAGTTTGAAATTTATTTAGGAATCGGTCATCTCTCGGGCCAAGTATGCATCATTCATTTTTTTGCATGATCTCTGTTTGAAAAGCAGAAGCAGAATTGATAAATGAAAGTTAACAGCCGGGAGTGTTTTATCAAATGATAAACCTGCGTCCCAACATTCCAATTTCCCCTTCGATCAAGTTTTTAGCGACCCCGCCACCTCCACGGGCCTCCGGCGGCGAGTCCGTAGCAATGGCCAGCTTAGTCCGAGTTGCCGCCGCTCAAATGACATCTGTTAATGACCTCGCCACTAACTTCGCTACTTGCTCGCGTCTAGTAAAGGTAACCGCAATCTCTCCCAACCTAGTTAATTCCATAACTTCATTCGAACAATTATCCGAGAAACCTAAATTGTTAATTCTATCACTGGGAACAATCTTTGTTATTACCTGCATCCTTTCCGGTGAAGAACTAGTGCAAACGAGTAACGGCATATCACCATAATCATTTTTATTAATTAGTTATTACTTATTAGTGATATTAGTAATGGTTTTTGTATTATTAATATTAAAAATAGTTTTTCCTAGTATATGTTAAATTTTAGATAATACTCTTGATATAAATATCCTAATAATTACGATTCTAATACTTGCTCACAATGGTTCATAATAATTAGGACTCCACTATTTTCTCACCATGTCTACGCGAGCAATATAAATAGAATATTTGTATTTATTGATGAAACAAATGATTTTGGAGTTAGATCATGTATTTTTGGGGATGTTAAGAGCATCCAATGATGTGCATGATGTACATGTGACATAAGAGATAGGTACATAAAAAGAAATAAATAAATTTGTCTCTTTCTCTTAACCACTTACTATGTTTTTGGTAGCTTGTTCCTCACAATATTAAGCATAATGTCTAGAGCTATCCATTTGGAGTAAAGCTATCACAAATATTGAGGAATATAGAGAGCGATAGAGAATTAGTGTTTACTATATCTTTTTTGTCTATGTCACAAATGTCACATGTCCGGCGTGCACATTATTGTATTAAGGATGTTCTGAGCACCAAAATTTATCTATACCAAGGACTGGAAGTAGCCCCCCTGTTCTGCACTTCTGCCAAATCTAGTGGTTCTCTATCTTCCGTCATCCTTTTCTCCTACCGCACTCATAGCATATTCATTGTTCCAGTTGTGATTAAGTGTTTTAATACAGTTCATCTTTTCGTTATTTTTAAAGGATGCTGCTTCAGCTGGTGCAAAATTGCTCTGTCTTCCTGAAAATTTCTCTTATGTGGGTGTCGAACAAGGGGACAGTCTTAAAATTGTTGAGCCACTGGATGGACCTATTGTGAGAGGATACTGTTCTCTTGCAAGGTGAGGCTACGGTAGTCAATAGAAAGGCGGAGTTAGTATTATTTCAAGGCCAAGATCAAGTAAAAAGGGTGCCTTCCTAATAAAGCACATACAAATTCTACTTCAATTATTAGAAACACATTGCGAGATAAATGTGTATAATTTTATACGTAAGCGTTCAGCTCTTTGACAAACTCTTGGCCATCAACATGTCATTACATTTTATCGTCAATGTACATTTCATCCTGAGATTGCACCACTCCTACATATATATGGGGATGTAATGCACTGTATACATTGAAATGATACACACTGATTTGTGTAATATTTACCAATTATCACAATGCTACTATATTTTAAATCAAAGTAAACATCTCATTTGTCTGCTTTGTGCGATGAATGTTTGGTTTTATTAGCCTTTGTCTAGATATCAATTATCATTTAGACCTACTGTGTCATGTTGTTGTTGGGACAACCATACAAACCATTATTTAATCACTAGCCCACGTGTAGCATGCGAATTAGTTGACTTAACTAAACAAGAGGATGGCATTTGAAAATAAAAGGGGTTCAAAGTCTAAGAATCAGAATCAGTTTTGTGATGTGGGGGGAGTGGGTATCAATCCATATTTGAATGTGTACTGTGTGGTTAATTAAGTAATTGAAAAGTGTTAGACATTGATTTTATTATATGTAAGTAAGAGTAAGATCGAAGTGTTTGGCAGAACTACTATTTTACCTGATTCAGGAAAAAGGCAGCTAAAACCAAATAGTTATCAGAATCAGTTTTTATAACTGTCATGGGGTGAGCTTTCTCTAAAATTAATTACTTTGACAGTCTTATAATCTACAAAAAAGAAGCATTTTTCAAATATTTTACAAAAACTGATTCACCTGTCTTTTGTTGCATGATGAAGCATAGTCAGTTTCAATAAGCAGAAACAAACACCATCTAAAACTTAACTCATTGCATATATCTAGGTTTGAGTGTTTTTGAACACTGTTTTTGATAAAGTTAGAGCTCTTATGTGTTTGTAGTCAACTGAATTGATATTCTTGCTGTTATCAATAAAGAGAGTCGAGCATTTGGCTGTCACTTGGAGGATTCCAAGAAAAGGGGAGTGAGGATGCACACTTGCGTAATACTCACATACTAATTGATGATGCTGGAAATATTAGAAGTACATACAGCAAGATGCATTTGTAAGACTTTTGACCTTGCATGGTTATTGTTATGAAAACCTGTTGGCATAACATTTTCTCATGAGCATTGCTTTTTATTGCATGAGATGAAGGTTTGATGTGGATGTTCCTGGAGGCGCGGTTTACAAGGAAAGTAGCTTCACAGAACCAGGTGAGAGTTTCGCTTTCCTCTACACGATATTGTATTTTAAGTCATGCAACTAAAATTCTCTAGCTTTCTGTTAAACCTACCTCGTACAAACAAGAAAACCAAAAGCTCCTTGGAGAGTTATGAGCAGTATTTTAACTTATTAATAAGTGGAATGATTTTGAAGTGAAAGGGTTATGAAGATAGACAACTACTCGCTCCCGTGACTGAGAGGGAACTCAATGGTTAGCCCTACCCTGGCCCTTGAACAGCCGGAATGCTATGTGCATTAAACTGCCCTTTTTATTTTGAAGTGACATGTTCATGGATGTATAGTGTTGGTTGTGTTCCTTTCTTGGTTAGTATATGACACTTTTTATCCCTCACTGATATATTCATTTAGGAAAGGACATTGCTGTGGTCGACAGTCCCTTTGGGCGAATAGGACTGACAGTATGCTATGATTTGAGATTTCCTCAGCTCTATCAGCATCTACGGTTTCTCCATGATGCACAGGTTATTCATTTATATAAATACAATCAAAAGTCAAATACTCATGCATTTATATAATCAATAGTCAAATACTTATTCATTTACATGTTTGTTCCTTTATTCTTTAATTCATTTTTTTGTTAACATTTATTTATTCAGATTAGTTTTATATTATTATTTGGCACTCAAGTCCCAAACAATGACATACTGTTTGTAGGTTTTACTTGTGCCTGCTGCTTTCACAACTGCAACTGGTCAGGCACACTGGGAAATTCTTCTCCGTGCTCGGGCGATCGAGACACAATGCTATGTATGAAGTTTCTTGTTGTTTCCTTTTCTGTAGGAAGGGAGTGTTATAAAACTCATACATACTAAAGATCGAAACATGTAGAAAATAATTGGCTCTATTATTTTCTCCCTTCAGAGATCGAATATATCATCATTCTTTTTCTCTAAATACTTGTATCTGTAATCTTCTTTTACCCCATTTATATTTTGGGTAGTAATGGTAAATGTTTTATCAGGTCATAGCTGCTGCTCAAGCAGGAAAACATAATGAAAAAAGAGAGAGTTATGGTGACTCTTTAATAATAGATCCATGGGGAACAATAATTGGGAGATTGCCAGGTCAGGACTGTTCATGTTAATGCACTGGCTTCTCATTCCAAAACGCTCAATTTATTTTTCTTTTAGGGTCTACATAGATTGTGGGGTTTTTGCAGGTTTTTGGAGGGGAAGGTTTTGAAGGGCTGAGTCTATATCTTAATACTACCTTCGTCCCATAAAACTTGGCCAACTTTCCTCTTTTGCCGTCCCAAAAAACTTTGTCATTTCCATTTAAAGTAACAAATATGTGGCTAAAGTTATTTCTCTCTCCTCTGCACAAATATCAACCACACAGTTTTTACTTTATTAATCTGCATGCAAGTCAACATTGGCCAAGTTTTATGGGACATAGAGAGTATATTTTTTGAGATTTTTTAAAACGTTGAATAAGTAACAATTTCCATCATTTGCAATGGAGCCAAAGATTCATTATTTTTTGGCTTGAGATTATGATGGAATAAAGCAAAATGACTCACAAAACTGTCTGCGCTTCTTTGTTATGAAGCATCAGTCAGTCCATGCAATTTTGGACGGGATTTTCACTATGGGTCATCCGGAAACAGTCTCTCTGTGCTTTAGTACAAGGGTAAGACTGCGTACATCCGATCCCCCTTACCCCACCGTAGGTGGGAGCCTTTGCGGCACTGAGGTAAATGAAAATGAAAATGATGATGAATGAATAAATAACAAAATAGGTAATCAAATAACATTCGTTTTTAAGGAATACTCTATTTATCGACATAAAGTCTAAGCCCTCGAAAGCCTTCCCCTCCAAAACCTCTTAACCCTCTATCCTAACAGACCCTTAGAGATCTGTGCTCTCTCACAGGTTTCCATTGTTTGATATGTTTGGTGGGCACAGGGAACACTCCTGTGTGAACTGCATTTATGGCATACTAGAAATGATTTTACCAAGGATTATTGCCGAAAGGAATGACTAGACATGTTTATTTAGTTGTTCTCTTCATCTTGGTAACATGTAAAGCCATACTTTATGAGTTTATGTTTTTTTTTTCAGATCGTTCTTCAACAGGAATCTGTGTTGCAGATATTGACTTATCAATGATTGGTGCGGTTCGCACAAGGATGCCTTTATCTCTGGTAAAAATATCTTTAATTTACTCTGTCAACAATGACACAGGATTCATTTCCTTTACCTGACATCCACAAACATGTGCTGTTCTCTCTTTCTCAAACCCCCACAATTTTCTCTTTTTAGATTTCCCAGGATTTTCCTACTTCAATGTGTACTACTTGGACCATGATGCTAAATATTTTTAGAGATTATCTTCATCTTAATAATATGTTTATAAGTCATCTTTCATTTTTCGTGTTCTGTAAATATGTTGACATTTATTTTTTTGAAAACACCACAACTTTCCACGTTACTCAATTTTTAGTGATTTGACATGAAAGCCCGTTTGACACCAAATTTTATTATTTGTACAAAGTACATCCATAATTGGAACTTAATATTCGAGTGTAAATTTTAAAATGTTCGCATATCATATGTTTGCTTAACATGTATAAAAGGCAATTAGGAAATATAATTAAGTAATTAATTAGGACCAAGTGAGTGAGTAACTGTAGCTTTCAGTTTGCCTTGTGATTTTTAGTTGTAAGAACAAAAAACAAGTTGTGTTCATGATGTATGCCTATTAGATAAACTAGCTACTGTTGCAATTTATCAGTTTACATTCCCTTTTTCCTCGTGTGTATTTTCTCCAATTTTATACCACTTCTCCCGGAAGTTTATTATACTGGCATTGATCTCCTTATGGGATAGATGGTTTATATGGGGTAGACATATGTTCTTTTTTTTGAAATTATATTTATGGTAATCCTATCGCCTCACTTGAAGTTTCTTTGTTTTGTAGCACCGCAAGCCTGATGATTTCTGGAAATAGGCTTCTTCTTTTTTACCAAGGCCCTCTTTGTTGTTTCAATGTGTGTGCCTCTAATTCATATTTTGTGTTAAATTTGGTGCATTATTAATTAGAAATTCCTCTAAATAGGAGCAAAAACGTTTTGAAATTCCAAAATAGGAGTATCATGTTTTTTATTCCCTATATAGGAGTAATATGCCAAGTTTGAAAAAAAATGTCATGTTTTAAAGCCTAGTAATGCCAAACTTGGCAGAAATTTACTCATATTCAAGGAATAAAAAACATGATACTCATGCGATAAAAAAAATATGATACTCCAATTTTGGAATTTCAATTTTTTTTTTCCTCCTATTTAGGAAATTCTCTCATACTATCATTGTTATATGAATTTTTTCCTCGAGCTTATCCACTCATTTGTATTTGTAATAATAGTAATAAGTAATAGTAATAATAACCTCTCATCACCTGCTGTCTAAAGAGTTCTCTTTTCTATATTAGATATTTCACTTTTCGTGGACTGGACATTAGAGGCCGTTTGGTACGTCCAAATGGGGTGAAAAGTGTGAAATAAGGCAAATTTCACTGGTGTACAGATATAGTTTTATCAAAATGAAAGTCGTGCCCGGGAATGCTTGGTATTCACTTGTACTATTATGAAATGAGAGTGTGATCTTCATGAATAATGATCAAATTGGACATTATAATTACGTTTGAATATGATACGTGCTATTTGATATTAGGTTTCAAATGAAACAAATTAGACCACTAGTGATATTAGGGGTGGATTCGGTCCGGGTCGGGCCCGGGCCGGGCCTAGAATAGTGGGCCCGGGACCGGCCCGAGGGTTGGACCGGTCCGGTTCGGGCCGGGCCACCCGCCCGGGTCACAGGTCGGGCCACCCGCCGGGCCTGGCCGGGCCGGGTAATTTTTTTTTTTAAATTTATATTTTATACTTTATAGTTTTATACAAGTATTAAAAAACAAACTTCAAGTGCATTTATTTGAAATGAAATAGGAACTACATTTGAAAATTAAATAGGAACTATAATTGTTTTTAATCGGAATCTCCGGCATAAGTAGAGCCACCCTCTGTAGATTCATCCATAAAGTGTTGGGATGGAGTGATGTCAATTTCTTGAGCTCTACGTGCTGCTTTCAATCAATCGTGGTAGCATATAAGCATCTCAAGAGATTCAGCGCTCAACCTCGTTCTGGTTTGTGTTAGAACATTGCCGGCCGAACTAAATTCTTGTTCCACGGCAACCGTTGAAACCGGCATTGATAGCACTTGCTTAGCCATCTTTGCTAAAACCGGGAACATTCTTTCTTTTCCCTTCCACCAGTTTAGTACGTCAAAATCATCATCTTCTTCAAAATCAACATCATAAGTTAAATACAAAGAAATCTCATTAATTGTGCTTTGTTGTGTAGCGAGAGTTGATTTTGTTTTTTTAATAAGATTGGCAAACGTAGATTTGAAAATTGATTTTCCTTTAGATGATGTTTGTGTCGGGGGAGGGGGCGCATTGCCATATTGTGCATGAAACTCATTGAATAATGCATAAAATATATCACTAACCTCGTTGTATTCTTTTTTCGGATCAATTGGGTTGTCCTCATACATTGGCAATGGACCAAAAAAAGCAACATAATAATAATTCAAACATTCTTCTAAAGAACCAAGTCTAAAACGAGGATCGAGAACAAATGCAATACCATAAATATGCGGAATATGTGAATAATATTTTAAAAACTTTTCCTTCATAAAACCAGCAAAATAATTCACATAATCAGCATTCTCAAAATTTGAAAAAGCACCGGCGAGATTAACAGCTTCACGAATAAATTGGTTTGAGGTAGGTTTATAAGCATGACTAAAAGTTTCAGTTGCATTATTAAAATATATCAAAGCATTACAAATTTTTTCACAGGTGTCGATCTCAGCCGAGTTTATAATATAGTTATCATATTGTTTCATAAAAGCAGGAAAATGTTGTTTATATCTAAGAAGAACTCCAATTAACTTATAGGTACTATTCCAACGAATAGACAAATCTTTTGGAAAAGCCACATATCTCTCACCTCTTTCTATCAAATAATCATGCCATTTTTTCCTAAGGTGTCCATTACCCCAAATACGTTTAATCCCCCCCTTGACTACCTCCAACGATGCTCCCAACGCTTTTAGACCATCTTGCACACATAAATTTAGAACATGACATGCACATCGTTGATGAAAAAATCTACCCATCAAAGAAGTAGAACCACACAATTCACGCAATCTAGGAATAGCAGCAGTATTATTAGTAGCATTATCAAAACCAATAGCAAACACCTTATCAATTAAATCATACTCAATTAAAATACGTTCAATCAAAATATAAATATGTTCAGCGGTGTGACGATCATTAAATTCACGGAAAGCAAGAACACGTTTATGCATATGCCAATCATTATCAATATAATGTACAGTCAGACCCAAATAATGTAAATTATGATAAGTATCCTCCCATATGTCAGAACATACAGTAACACGTCCATCAAAGTTTGCAAAATAATTTTGTAACCTTACCTTTTCCGCACCATAAAGCCTTGAAATTTCTTTCTTAACCGTTTTGCGACTATAACCTCTATATTGCGGATTTAAACAAGTTTGTGCATAATCACGAAAAGCAAGACTTTCAGAAAACAAATAAGGCAAATTTTCTTCAACAAGTAAGTTAGCCATACCTGTCAAATTTTGTGCATCATTGTATGAGAAATTACCAAAAGCTTGTTGGTTATTTGCAAACCTCGATATTTGCGTTTGCTTCCCCGTTCCGCCGCCTAATTTTGCATACTCCACCGGGTGTTTGGACTTAAGGTGTCTTGTGGCGGATCCGTATCCGCCGGAAATCCCCAAGCTATAGTTTTTCTTGCACCAATTGCAAGTTGCGGTCCAATTCCCGGTGTTCGGGTCCTTCCACTTAGAAAAATTATTAGCCATTAATTCTGATTTACTTTTTTTTGTACCTGTTTGGGATGAGGCTGCTTGGTCGGCGTCATGGCTGCCGCCACCCTCCTCCTCCTCGTCGTCGTGGCTCTCCGGAATTGCTTCCTCCACATCGTCGTCCTCGTCCTCGAGCTCTTCTTCGTCAATGGTCCTCGGTTGGTCTTGAAAAAAGCGGGAATTATGTCGGTGCAATTCTTGTTCTAGTTGTTCGTCGGTCATCGCATCCCCATCCCTCCTTACGTAACCCGTATCAAAATCATCTTGACTTTGAGATGAAGAGCCGATATGTGATTTACCTTTGCGGGATCTCTTCCTCGCAAGCTCGTTCGTTCGGTTGCGCTCGAGGTTACCCATATCAACCGAATATCTAGGACGATCCATCTAAAAAATGTAGCAATTAATAAAATATTGTAAAAAACTAATTAACTATTTATCTAACTATTAATTCGAGTTATAGCAAATTAAGTAGTGAATTAACTAGTTTTGTGTACAACATATATTTTAAACTAATTAAACAAATGTAGCAATTAATAGCAAATTGTAAAAAACTAATTAACTATTTATCTAACTATTAATTCGAGTTATAGCAAATTAAGTAGTGAATTAACTAGTTTTGTGTACAACATATTTTTTAAACTAATTAAACAAATGTAGCAATTAATAGCAAATTGTAAAAAACTAATTAACTATTTATCTAACTATTAATTCGAGTTATAGCAAATTAAGTAGTGAATTAACTAGTTTTGTGTACAACATATTTTTTAAACTAATTAAACAAATGTAGCAATTAATAGCAAATTGTAAAAAACTAATTAACTATTTATCTAACTATTAATTCGAGTTATAGCAAATTAAGTAGTGAATTAACTAGTTTTGTGTACAACATATTTTTTAAACTAATTAAACAAGTGTAAATAATAGAATAATTTCGTACCTCTTTCGGACTTTCGGTCTTTCGGATGGGAGTAATAGAATGACTTCAAATTAATTAGATATAATTCCAACTATATTAATAGATATAATAAATATATAAGTAATATATAATTAGATAACAAATATAAGTAATATAATACTATTTATATCTATTTATAGTTTATATAAGTAGATAATTAATATAAACTATAAATAATAAATATAATATATTGGAGAATGGAGAATAAGAGAATTAGAGAGTAGAGAGTTAAGAATAGGATTTAGGAAGAATTGGAGAAGAGATATGAAAAAATGTTTAAGATTAGGAGTATTTATAGGTTTTTTTACCCCCCACCCCCCCACCCCACCCCCACCACCCAACCCCCCCGGACCCCCCCCCCCCTTTACCCCACCCAACGGCTATATAGCCGTTTGGGTTGTCCCCAGCCCCACCCCCAACGGCTAGTAGGAGCCCAAACCATTTTTTTTTTTAAAATTGAACCGGACCCGGGCCGGGTCACAAAAATGCTGAACCGAGCCCGCCCCGCCCCTTCCCCCCGGTTCGGGCCCAGACCCGGTCCCGGACCGCCCGACCGGGCCGGTCCCAGGCCCGCACAGTACCGGGCCGGGTCACGGGCGGGGTGGCCCGAACCGAATCCAACCCTAAGTGATATATGCAAGGTCGACTATTGTGTCAATTTAGTACTTCAAGTTGTAAGCGGGGAGTAAAGAGTACATCATTTTGCAAGTGTGATTTTGAGGTACATGAAATCGCCAAATCAGTGCTAATCGAGTCCATCAAGGTATTAGAGTGTTTAAAACGCCTAGGTGGCAAATTGATTAGTGATATGGCAAAATAAAAAGCCACCAAATCAGCTAACTTGTCACCCTTGCGTAGGGTTGGATTCGGTTCGGGCCATCCGGCCCGTGACCCGGCTCGGCCCGGTACTGTGCGGGCCCGGGACTGGCCCGGTCGGGCGGTCCGGGGGGGTTGGGTGGTGGTGGGGTGGTTGTGGGGGGGTGAGGGGTAAAAAAACCTATAAATACTCCTAATCTTAAACATTTTTTCACATCTCTTCTCCAATTCTTCCTAAATCCTATTCTTAACTCTCTACTCTCTAATTCTCTTATTCTACAATATATTATATTTATTATTTATATATCTACTTTATAGTTTATACTTAAGAAGTTAAGATGGAAAATCAAGATGCCATTATACGGTATAATTTTGATAAGCAGAAGGACCCGAAGACCGGGATGTGGTACGCAATTTGCAAATGGTGCGAGAAAAAATGTAGCACGGGGGTTTCAGGTGGATTCGGGATGACAATCAAGCATATGAAGTCATGTGACAAAGCCAAAGGATCGGGAGGTGCGGGAAGTTCCGATTGATTACAATTTTCAAAATGTTTATCTCTTAAAGTTTGTTTTAATTTTCAAATGTAGTTCCTATTTCATTTCAAATAAATGCAATTGAAGTTTGTTTTTAATACTCGTATAAAACTATAAACTATAAAATATAAATTATATAAAAAAAAATTTAACCGACCCGGCCCGAACCGGACCCGATCCGTGACCCGGGCGGGTGGCCTGGCCCGAACTGGACCCGTCCAACCCTCGGGCCGGTCCCGGGCCCATGTCATACAACCCGACGGCCCGACCGGGCCTAGGCCCGGCCCGGCCCCGACCCGGCCCGAGTCCATCAATACCTTTGCGTAGCCTCCTTTGAACCGGATCTTCCTTCCCCAATTTTTTATTTTGACTTAGTCAAAATTTCTCAAGAAAATTAGCCTTTCATTATTTGGCCTCAATCTTGAGGACGTGGTCCGCTTGGGACCATAACAATTATATACGGAGTATCTTTTATAAAAGGCAGGTGAGACACCCTTCTGCCAACCCAGAGGTAGGTTCTACGTGTCGGTCACTCTCCGCCGGTGAAGATGGTGGTTGCAGGCTCGCAGCAGAGCAAGGAAGGCTACACAAGCAAGCTTTCGGTGGGAGATCGGCTCAGCCTCGAAATGTATCTTCCTTGACCTCTAAACTGCAATTAATGGCGGAAATCAAGAAGTCCCAGCCGGAAAATCCTTCAGGCCACGCCCGCAACGAGGTGGAGAAGCAAACCTCATGTTGGAGAGGACGGCGCGCCCCTGAGGCAGCACTAGTCGAGTTTCAAAGCTGCGAAAGCAAGATTCAGTGAGTATTGACCTTCAGCTGCTGCCTGCTGGTGCACGAACAACGTGGATGATTCCAGCGATTCTCAGCGGCTTCGACGGTTCCACTCTAGATCCAGAAAACCCCAGATCCCATTTCTTCCTATTTTCATTCTTCTTTTCCTTTTTCTCTATCGAATCATTTATTTTTTGCTGAAAATCAGTTCTCCCTTTGCCATATCACTAATCCCTTTGCCACCTAGGCATTTTAAATGTTCTAATACACAATGGACTCAATTAGCACTGATTTGGTGATTTCATGTACCTCAAAATCACACTTGCAAAATGACGTACTCTTTAGCCCCTTGCTTACAATTTGATGTACTAAATCGACACTTTTCTCAATCTTTTAGGGTTCTCCAATTTTTAAAGATCTTAATAATGCATTAATACTATGAGCCCGTTTGGTAATACGAAAATCGACTAAATCGGGTGATTCTACTGAAATTTATGAAATTTTGGTTGAATTGTCTGATATAAGGAAAAATTTAAAATATTTTTTTTAATACAATAAAGAAGAAATTATATGTAAAAATAGCTAAAATTCTCATCTACAATAACTTCAACCAATACAAGCAGAAAATTAACTCTAACTCATTTTCAAAATTAACCTGTTTGAAAAAATTGAGTAATAAGTTTGATAAGCTGAAAAACAGGACTAACAAACGGCCTCTATGTGTGTATTTAATTAAAATTATTATTAGAATCTATTAAAAGGCAAATCATGATTACCAAACCGGCAAATACTTCAAAAACAATGTACACATTCTTCTTTATTCAATCACTATTTTAACAACCCATACTCTCACAATCAAACTGTTGAATGACTTCAATCAGCCAGAGCCGAGCATTCTGTTTATTCCACACTTCCGCTGCATACAAGATATATTGCCCAAAGATTTCTTTCAAAATTACAGTGAGGGAGAAGCTAGGAAGAAGACAAACTTTTGATTTTATTTCCTCAGGCTCAAATGACACACAATCAGAAAGCATAAGGGGAATAGGGGATTATTAAATTTTTATAAAAAAAAAAAACTTCACAGTTCTTCAACACCTTATTGCTGTCTTGAGAGTGGCAAAAGCAAGCCAGATATTTTATATTCAATCCTATACAACCATCTCAGACAACAAGGTAAATCAAACCATATATGAATTATCTATAAAAATAAAAGCAAGTTGCTCAATAATTATGAACACGAGGCATATAACAGCTCCTCCTATATCCTGAACTCTGTAAGCATTATTTCAAACTAGGAATTCCCTTGGACTTGAAAGAAGATCAATTGGTTTATCCAAGGCGTCTTTAAGAATTGAAATTTGACCTTCTTTAACGAGTACCTCTTCATCTAGCGTTTCAATTCTTTTCTTTAGCACATTGTTCTCAGAGTTGAGCAACATATTGTTTTCACTGTACTGCTTAACATCTTCCCACAACATGTCTCTTTCATGGGTCACTTTTGGAAGTATCCCCTTCACGGTCGTTAACTCCTTTATACATTCATCAAGATCATTCTCAAGCTTTTTTATATTCTCATCTTTCTTGATTACCTGTGGAGTACAAAAACACATGCTAAGAAACTCATTACATGTCCCAATGATCTTGCAATTTAATACCCTTAAGTAACTACTTTGATTGAGAAATGAGATGGGAAAGAATGAAAAATACAAAAACATACAACAATTACTACATCGTCTTAGTCCCAAATACTCCCTCCGTCCCTAAATAAAAGCATCTGTTTCCTTTTCGGGCCGTCCCTAAATAAAAGTTCCCTTTCCTTTTTTGGCAAACAAAACAGTGCAAAACAGTGCAAAACAGTGCCAAACAGTGCCAAACAGTGTCCAAACAGTGCCAAACAGTACCAACCAAACCCACTTTCTTAAGATGTGTGTAAAATGAATGGATACTTTTATATAGGGACGGAGGGAGTAGTTTGAAACCGGAGTTTTTTTTTTGACAGCAAACTAACATATTATATTAAAATCAAACTCGCAATACAATAAGGTAACATGCCAACAATAAAGTAACCCCTCTATCCCAAAATGACCAAGAGCCCAGCGGCCCCCTCACTTCTAGATCAGACATAGAATAGTCCACCCCAAAAAGAGTGAGATTAATCGCTGAAAATGTGAGAGCTTCAAGGCTATTAACGGCTGAATCAACCTGATTGCCTCCAATCAGAAATCTATCAATTAAAACAAAACAAAGCGTCATTCTACCCCCCTTATTGTTTATCCTAAAAAGAGCAAAATAGAAATAGTAAAATAGTCTGGACTGAAAATAAAAAACTGGAAATAGCAAAGCAATCTTCCAAACCCTAGTCGCATAGTTCATCCATGGCGGTGGTTCGAGAGGAGGACGGATTTTCATCCCTTTATCTTCTTCCTTCATCACTTTGATCTGCCCGTGGATCGCCTCCTTCTCTTGACCAAGGTACTGCACGAACAAAACCGATCCGAGTACGAGTAGTCTCCACATCCCAATTCGGATTAGTCGCACGAACCCAATCAAATTTGGAGTTGGTCTTCGTTGCTCCAATCCTAGATTGCGGAATCCGTCCCTGTATCGTCCAACGTCGAGCGAAGAGATTCGATGACCCCAACTTACGCAGACGAGGGTCAGAACCCTAGCTGCGGCAAAACTTACGCAGACGAGGGTCAAAACCCTAGCTGCGGCTGAATCCAGAGAAGAAGCGAGCAGGAGCGGTCGAGCGGCACAATTCCAAAAAGGGGGCGTCAGGGCGTGTGGCCTCCGGCGATGTGCGCGGCGGAACTTGCGAGCTGCCTTCTCTCTATAGCCTGGGCTCTGGAGGTTGTCGAAGAACTAAAATTTACTGTTTGAAACCGGAGTTAAAAATGATAAATAGAGAAAAGCTAGATAAAGAAAAACAGATAAATCCTCCACATGTATACTCTCATCTAACCCAAGAAATGTCAACATGTTAATATCATTACTGACCACTCTTCCCTCTCTTCCCTGCCTCTTCTTCCCACCTTTCAATTTGCCTACAAGGTTCATTAATATTTTATAAAGGAAAAACCTGTTCTTGCACCACCATAGTTGCAACATTTGACTTTGCAGGTTGCACCACATGTTTTATCTTATTTGACATTATTGCACTTCAGATGGGGTGCAAAGTTAAATTTAAAGGTGTTAGGGATCTACCTATGTTAGGAGAATTGGGCTTAATAGAATGTTAGGAATTGGGCCTATTAGAGCAAGAATAATAATAAGTGTGTTAGATTAGTATAAATAGAAGAAGCTGGGAGAAGTAAAGTAGGCTTTTAGACATTTGATCTTGGGACTCGGAAGGATACGAGACTGAACATCTCTATCTTTTGGGGCTTCGGCTTTGGGGGGCTTTGGCCTTTGTACTGATTACTGTTCATCTTCTTCAATAAAGATTACCTTGTTCATTGATATTAATTTCTGTAATTTCTGGATATTTGAAGGTCTCTATCAGTGGTATCAGAGCACGTTATTTCCTGGAGACCGAGAATCTGAATCATGGAGGATATTTTGACACCACAATTGGAAAAAAGTTTTGACAATATAGATCGACATATGATGGAGATGAAAGCTACGCTGAACAAGATGAAAGAGCTGTTGAACAGTATGGACCAATATCATAGCAGACGTAGATCAAGGAGCCCTAAAAATTGTCGGTCTTCTGCGTATCCCCGTTCGTCGCCATCGCTCAGCAGTTCGCAGAAGGAGTCGCGAACTAGTTCTCATGGCTCGCAATCGCGAACTTCATGGCACTGTTCACAGTCGCGAAACATATTGCAGACGTCGCACACTTCGCACCATTCAAATCGTTCTTCGCATCGCTCTTCGCAAAGTTCTTCGCGAAATGTGTCTTTGCAGAGTTATTTCCCTCGCTCTTCGCAAAGTTCTTCACATCCCTCTTCGCTGAGTTTTAATCATCACTCATATGATCGCTCTTCGCATCAGAGTTCGCCTTCTTCGTCTAAAGTCGCTTCTCGGAATTCAGCTAGGTCAAAGACGGAGGAATTACCTCTATTCCACGAGGTTAAAGCATACGCATGGATAAGGAGGATGGAAAGATTTAAAGTGCACATTGCAGCAAAGGCAATGGGGGAAACCGCAGATGGCTGGTTTCAATGGTGGGACTTTCAAAAGAGAGACGATAGTTGGGAGGCTTTAAAGGAAGATTTGATTAGGGATTTTTCACCTAGACACCAGCAGAAGACGGGGAAGAGCAAAACCAGAGTCATCGAGGTCTTCGCATATCTCTTCGCATCGCTCTTCTCATAGCTCTTCGCATCACCATTCTAAAAAATTGTTGCAAGTAGGAGCTCTCAGCTCGCAATCGCCAGTTTTGTCAAAAGTTAATTCTCAATCTGCACAAGATTTTTCCCAATCAATAAAGGAGATGAAATCAAGAAAGTGAATAAGAGAGACGAAATCAAGGAGAAAAGACCGAAGATTAACTGGCTGAATGTTTTAAAATCTGAAATGATATACTGTCATTCATTAAACATTTCTTTGGAAAGGCTAAAATCATTGAACAAATTTGATAGTTTCAGATGTGAGGGTATTACTTCTATTATGGGTAATAAAAAGGGGTTGAAAGGAGAGATTTCTGGAAATGTTACAGAATATGAGGGATATGTGACTGGTGTGGAAGTTGTCGTGTATCGGATGTTTATTAAAGATATCAATCCTGGTCATTTCCTTGAGACCATTATAGTTGGTGAAGTGGTTATGGGACTGCCAGTAGACTGTATACCTGTTCAAGATAAAAGTGTAGGTTTGGATTACAAGTTTCTTGTGGCAAGTACTGGTCCAAGACACAAAATACTCATGAAAAGAGATAAGAACGGGGAAGAGGACAATGTGTTGAGCACAATTGTTTTTAAGAGATAGATGGAGAAGTATGTTGCTGATACTTTTGAATATCAGTTAGATAAAATCAGTATGGCCCTGGATCGTACTACTCAGGCTACTGTTAATGGACCGGAAGCTAAAGCAAATTTTCAATCTTACAAAATGATCTTAGGCTACGGTTCCACTTATATTCTTGTAATGGAAACTAAGCTAGGAGAAGATGTTGAAAATATAGAAGTAGAACCCTACTTGCTGGGAAGAATAGTTATGGCAATAACCCAGTATCCATGTGCTCGGTATCAATGTGCAGTTTTTTCCTTGTTTGTCAATACCCCAATATACATCATGCAGCACATGGCATCAGGATCCAGATTGGTTGTGGGGTTTGTAAGCTGCCAGACATCTTTGGGTGTTCTTCAAAATACAAAAAAAAAGTGGAAGGTGAAACTTCATATGAAATTGGGGAAGAACTTGCTCTGTCTTCAACCAGAGATAAACACAGTAGTTTCATGAATATCAGTACTGACAGTGATCAA